CATAGTCCAACTCATCATATCTTATGAGGTTGTCAACATGATCATATTAGAAATATTTTTTATAATTTACACTTTTATAACTATTAAAGTATGTGTGAATTAAACAATATCATTATTCATGTATTTCTCATTTACCACAAAACTTTGTTTATGCATTTGAAAGTCCAAAAGAGCAAGATAAATCAAAAGGGCAATTTTGTCGATGTTTTTAGAAAAACCATGAAAAAATCATCGTAAGTCGAAATCTAGATCCGTAAACTCTCAAAGTTTAAATAAGTCTAATTTTTCCATAATTTTTACCCTGACCCTAAGTGGTTCCTAACCTGAGTGAAAATGTTCATTTTTACAGACAGGTCCGGAAATGTTCTGAAATGATAGACAGTTTTGTAAAAATCATTATAAAGTGTAGAAAAATCGTATGAACATGTGCAAGTAGTCCTTGGAAAGGTATACATCTAAACTATTACCATATTGTAAAGTTTTGAAATCCATTGAGTTTAAGGAGAGAAAAACAGTCCGTGAACACACCACAACTTTTCTGTGAAAAGCTGAAATTTAAGCATATATATGTTTAGTGACATAACTTGCATTTTTAGCTAGCAAAACCTTTAAATCTTTCAACTATATTTATTTAGTGTGTATTCACCCCCAAAACTTGTAAAACATAAAAGAGGGGCCGTAGAAAAACTCACTTTAGTTGCTTGTCGTTATCGGGTTCAAAGATGTCGAGATGTTCTCGATTTCTCGAAGGCTCGTGACAGAAGTATTCTTTGGGAGGACATAACATAGATGATGATAGATTAAGTTAGATATTATAACTAGCTATTCATAACACCTTGTGGGTTATTTTTAAGATGTAAAACATAAGTAAAAGTTTTATGTATACCTTTGTTCTAATACTATCATAAAATATTGTTATATCATGAGTTGAACACCATCTTTCTAGGCATCATGGAAGAGGTTGTCATGGGATCTATATCACTCAAAAATGGATTTCAAATGGGTTGTTATGATCTTGAAAAATTGCAGCAACATGAAGGTTTTTAGGAGCTTATTTGGTACCTAGAATTTAGCAACTATTTGTGTGTGTAGGTTCTCGAAAATTCAGCAACTAAAGAGGGTATTTGAGTGATTTTAGTCAAGTAATAAACAAGGAAACAGGGGATGTGATTAAGCCATCATTTTGACTTATGGATCCAATCAAAATTGAAGGAAAAAAGTGGTGATGGGGATGGTTTGAAGGGAGAAAAGGGAAGAGGGACAACAAAATAGTGGGTTCCTGGATGTTAAAAGTCACTCGAAAGACAACACTTTTTTTCACTGTTTTGGGTCTCGAGGATTTAGCAAGATCACAATAAGAAGAAGAGTTTTGGGACAGTTTTGTTGACTTCAAACATAGCGGTAACAGGAGACATGTTTAACGGGTATTTTTGGGATAAAATTGGGTTGAAGACAGGTGCTAAATGTTGTGACAGGAAGCTAAAAAGGAAGGAGGCAGCAGCTCCATTTTTTTTCTGTTTTTGATGGGTTTCGTGGAGAAGGTAGGGACTGTAAGAAAGTTGTTTTTCTGCTATGATACTGAGAGAAAGAAGTAGTGATTGTTTGTAGTAAAAATGAGAGTGAAATAGAGGGGAAGGTGCCGATGCATTTATGGCTAGAGGAAAGAATGAGTGTGAAATTTCGTTGATGGAATCAAACGTAACCATTTTAAAAAAAATCCCGTTACCCGAAGCCGTGTTATTATAATATTTTTGAACACATGGGTTCTCATTCTATCGTTTTCAGGAAACCGATTCTAATTCAAATTATAAAATAACATCGTTACTCGATAAATTCATAGATCAAGAAATTTCGTCAAGTTATTATCTAACTTGTAACAAATTTTCTCAACATTTTTAGAAGGTATAATATTCGTTATTGACTATGATGAAGAAATTTCGTCAAGTTATTATCTAACTAGTTTCCAAGGGATCTAGTCAACTTGAAGGTATTGACTATGATGAAAAGTATGCTCCGGTGGCATGAATGGAAACCATCTGAATCTTATTAGCATACGCAGCTCACAAGATCATCAAAGTACATCAAATGGATGTGAAAAGTTTTTTTCTCAATGGTGAATTAAAATAGGAGGTTTATCTTCAGCAACCTCCTTGCTTCGAAAGTCTTGAATTTCCTGATCATTGCTATAAACTTAAAAAAGCAGTCTATGGTCTGAAGCAAGCTCCTAGAGCATGCTACGAGACTCTCTTAGAATTTATTGTCTCATCTGGGTACAAAAGAGGAGTGATTGATCCCACTTTATTTAGAAAAGTAAACGGTAATCACCTTATGCTTGTGCAAATATATGTGGATGATATCATCTTCGGATCTACAGATCAGGGAATGGTGCATGAATTTGCAAAGCTCGTGAACAGTAAATTTGAAATAAGCATGAATAGTGAGATTAATTTCTTTCTAGGTCTTCAAGTCAAACAAGTCCGCATGGAATATTCATCAATCAGGAAAAATACACCTCTGAACTTGTTAGGTGCATAAATTGTGATGGGTTTTTTTGGTCATAAGAACATCCTATGTGCTCATACAAACCCTAATGCTTGGATCTAGGTTTCTCTATTGTACATGAAAGTTATCCAAGACTATAAACCCTAATTCTAGCATACAAGTAATCATATTAACATAAGAATGGGTTTGAGACATTACCTTGATTGTTATGTAGCAACAACAATCCAATTCCTCCTTGTATTTACTTTAGAAAGCTTAGAGTCACAAATGTCACTCCTCTAATGGCTCACAAACACCAAGAGCAAGAGGATGAAGAGGAGAGAGGATGGAGGCTGCCCAAAAATGTGTGAAACCCTAGAAAAAAGCTTAGCCACATTTTTGGTCCTTTAGGGGTCTATATATAGTGAGGCTATTAGGGTTATCTAACAAGGAAACCCTAATTTGGATGCTTAAGCCCTAAGCAACCCATGGAATCCTTTTCCTAAGACCTTGGACGATTTCTTATAGGTTTCCCCATAGAATTCGTCCACTCCTTAATATAAGAAAATCCATAGCCCAAATTGCAATTATCTTATAATTACAATTCTAGTCCCTTAAGTTTAATTAATCTCTTTTAGTCACAAAACTAATTACCAATTAATTATTGACTAATATTAATTAAACAATATGATTTCTCCTTTAATACATTATTAATATATTAATAAATCATATTTAATCCTTTCTCTCCATTATTCATCCTATCAAGTTGCTTTGGTGAAGGTAACCCAAAAGGACCATGCACCATCGGGTCAAGTACATACCAAAATAGTTATGGACTTAGACACTAATCCAACAAATTGCACCTTTTCATAAGCTAATTTCATGTTTATTTATAGTATTGCATTGCATTTTTAATGTAATATTCATTCATTTTGCATTTAAGGACATTATAGAGGATCTATCGATATTTCACCACTTTTATGGATATTTCAGGGTGATTTGAAGATTGGAGCATGCTTAGGATGGTCAAGGGAAGCTCTCGGTGAAATTTAGGAACTTTCGGAGCTAAATTGAAGAAATGAAGAAATTTGGAGATTTCCTATCTTACAGTTCATTACACGATCCACGCTTTGGCAAGGCATACGTTACACGGCCGCACTTTGGAAGTATTTCAGCACATCAGAGTCATTACACGGCCGTGTAATGGCAAGGAATACGTTACACGGTCCGTGTAACGTGATCTTATCAAAATTTGAATTCTTAACTTCCGATTTATCATGTTCTTCTGGTATATTCAAACATGACTTCGACTTGGAACTTCAAGGGGGTGATTTTGGGAAGTTTATATCATCATCTAACACTTTGGAAACACTTTAATTTGATTTTTGTAAGTTGATTTGAAGATCATACTTGTTAGATTTGTAGTTAACTTAGACATGTGTGGCTAATTTCTCAATCATTTCTGATTCTGGATTCCTAAGTGTTTGTTGTTAAGTTGTAATTTGCAATTGATTTTATGTTTATCATATAGTAATCTTTGATTTGATCTTAATTATATGTTTGATTGGTTCTCTTTACACTTGATCAATGAATTAGGGTTCTTATCAATCTAGTTAATCAAATTATGAAATTCGTATATGTTTTATGATTTGATGTTAGTAACATGCACTTAATTAGTTGTAATTAGATAAAAAAAATTAGTGTAATCAAAGATTAAATGTTCATATTCCCGAACTTATGAGGAATATTGGATATTGTTGGTAATTGTTGTAAGATCTTAATGTCATTTAATGATTTGATGTCACTACTAGAAATTAGCCCTTTAATGACGTGCAAACAATGACACTCGCTGATAGAGGACGTGCATTTGAGCGTACCCTAAAAAATAATATCAGTTTTGCAAAATTTGAAGGATAAAAGACACGCATTTGTGCGAGCCCTATAAATAGTGTCCAACAAAAAAAAAATTAAAAACACGGAGGGCCCCTATCATAAAAGTGTGTGTCGTCTAAAACTGTCGCTTTATATTTTTTAGGAACGCGCGTTCTCCAATTTCTTAATTGCTAGGGGGGGATGAAATCCAAAAAATCAAACACCCCGCCTTGATACTCTCGTCCTTCTTTTCTTCGTATGTTGTAAAATCCTCTTCAATCAAAAGAAACCCTAAAAGCATTGTGTGTAAAAAGATCGATAATTCTAAAATCTTCATCGATCAAAAGAAACCCTAAAACCCCGCCTCATACTTGAAGTTCCTGTAAGCGCTTCTGTTATCTTGTTATGTTCTGCTATAATCTAATTCCTCAACGACGTTGAGGAGGGGTTATTTCCATTGGTCTGTACTCTATCCCATCGTTTCCGTAATCTGCCAAACATTGGACTAAGTCCAGTGCATTATTCAACTCAAGATCCATCTGTGTTGGGTTGGACTGGTAGTAGAGAGGCAAAGATATCTAGGCCCACAACCGAGAATGAGAAGATCCAAATCGTGTTACCCAACTTAAACCCTAATCAACGTTTCTATGGGTTTCCTTCATCAAAAACGTCTCAAGTCCTTCAACGGGATCAAGGGGTACGCTCGCATAATAGAACAGAATGGAAAGAGAGATGCAAAAAAGGAATTACTTGGGTTTACACGTAGATCACTTCTAGAGGTAAAATACTGAAATTCGATGTTATTCATACTTTCTTTTCTCAACAATGGATGAATTCCTTGGTTGTATCACTCATATGTTGTTCCAGAATTAACATCAACTGAGAAGACGACCATACGATCTGTACTGATCAGCCATGTGTGAACTTGAAAATTTGTGATGAGAAACATTTATACATGGTTTGGCTCAAAACATTGGGTGAGATCGTACACCACAGGGACAAACCAGCAATGCGCGTTGTATATCAAGGAGCTTCAGTTCATCAGCGTCTGTTAGTTTCAAGCGAAGTTGCAAGGAGGTACGAACCTGGAAATCAGGCTAAAGGGGATGTCCTGCATGTTAGCTTATATTACATTAATTCCAATCTCAATACATATGATATATCCTCTCTACAAGTTTATTCAAATAATCCTATTGATTTATATAAGGATGTGAGAATATTAAGTTGTACGCAACATAAAAATGTGGTATGGTTAGCTGGGTTTTGCATTGAAGGGAATCAGAGGCTGTTAGTTTTTGAGTATGTGTGCAATGCCCCCCCCCCCTAGACATTCATTTACAGGTGAACAAGGGAACACACTTAGACTGGTCATCACATTTGATAATAGTAATTGAAACAACAGGATTATGGTACTTTCATGAAGATTGCGGGGTGGGGTGGATAGTTCACATAGACATGCAGCAGCTTCGAAGATGATATTCCATTTTTCCAGGCCTACAAATACAGCCAAATCAGGCATCATCACCTACGTGACCAAATTTTAGGTAGTATGAAGCTTCTTTTGAGAGAAGATTGGTGTAACTGAGAAAAATAAATAGATGGCTATAATTAATTTTCTTTGGGTGGGTGTGTGTGTATAATATTATTCAAATGAGATTAGGTGTTGTGCCTAGTGCATTGTGGTGAGAATGAAATATTAAAGCAGGTTATCAGAATCTTTTAAAAATGAGTGGATGGATATTATCTGCTTTGAAATGTGTTCTATAAGCTTCTCCTTGGAAGAAGAAGAAAAAATAATGAAATTATTTGGGAATCACTAGACTCTTATGTCAAAATGCTTTTGTACTACATAAAGGTCTTGTTTTCTTTCTTTCTTTCTTTTTTTTCCTCATCAGGTGTTGCTGTTTGGATAAATGATGCTTAATTTTTTTTTTTTTGAGAAAATAAATGGTATACCTGAGAAATGGAAAGGAAAGAATGAGGGCAAATTTGTAAAAAGCTGGGACTTAATGGGAAAAGTCTCGTTTCCCTAAGTTGCTCTATTAGGTCATTCTTTTTGCGTTAAGTCAAAAAGAAACACACATATATAGCTTACCAGTCAATTAAGTTTATTATTATTATTATTTTATTTATTTAGATAGATTGGCTTAGTGTCTTGAGTTCATAGCTTACAAGATTAAGTGGCTGTTTTTTTTTTTTTACTTAATGAGCTTAATGTGTTAAGCACATAATTTGGATTCTGGTTGTCTCATTTTTACTTAATCAGAACAGAATAACATAATGGGTTAAGCCTGGCTTAATGTATTAAAATACTAATAGGTGCTTTTTTTGTTGCTTTGATCCTATTCTTACAATTGTTGCTGGACTTAGTGTCTGGGATCCTTTTCTTTTGACTCAAGAGAAGAAAGACGTGAGTAATCCAGCTACTTTCACACAAGGGCATTTTGGTCTTTTCCTGATATCTTTTGTATGTCTATTTCAGCATGCTAGTACAACAATATCAAGATTTTCTGCAAAGGATTATAGTGATCATATGGCACTAGTGCATGCATATGAAGGACGGAAAGAAGCTGAAAGAGAAGGATCTGCTTATGAATATTGCGGGAGGAATTTTCTTTCTGGTCAAACACTTCAAGCTATGCATTCTATAAGGCATCAGTTTATCCATATTTTGAAAGATGCTCAATTATTTGAGACTAAATTAGGGATTAACACTTCAAGCTATACATTCTTTAAGGAATCAGTTTATCCATATTGTTTTTTTTTTTACTCTTGCAGTGCAGCAACAGAACACAACTATTTAGCAACACCTGATTCTGCTAAATGATTTGGATCCAAGGTACATTTACATCAGCCTATATGTCTAAGAAGTTGTATTAATTAGAAACAATGAAATGATGTGATGTAATTGTGTGGTGTGTAGTAGCACCGTATCCGGTGTATCAGTAGGGTATGGAATCATGTGTCATGTGAGGGCTCTCTGTACACATGGGAATTACCTTCAGGTGCTAAGCTTGTTTATCTCACGCATTACAGAGGTATGTATTATTCCTTTTTATAGCCGAATAACTAACTGGAATTTTTCTAAAGCTATAAATATCTTTTTAATGTTGGTGGAATCATGATCCATAGTGTCCTGTTTGATGGCGGATGATTCGGGCTCTTCTGGTGTATTTTGTAGTGGCTGTGGTTAGTTTAATGAAGACAGGTCCATCAAAGTCTAGCTTAGAAGCACAGTTATTGGAAAAAAGCTTGGTGAGAGGAAGGGGTATTGACAATATCTTAGGGTTTGATTGGCCAGCATCACCATCAACTGAATCCATGGTTAGATCTCTTGAAGTTTTATATTCACTTGGAGTTCTTGATGATGATGCTAAACTCACTTCACCTGTTGGTTTCCAAGTTGCTGAGCTTCCATTGGTATGTTAATACACCATCATCATCATCATCATCATCATCATCATCATCACTAAATGCAATAAATTTTGGTTGTTTTTATTTTGGATCCTATGGTGTCAAAAATGATTATAGCATCAGACAAACTTGAATGTTTAAAAGAAATCATCACTATTGCAACTATACTCTCAGTTCAGGTGTATAAACATTTCTCTATGATTATTCATTCTCATGTCTTTAAAATCATTGTTGATGATTATTTTATTATTATTATTATTATTATTATTATTATTATTATTATTATTATTATTATTATTATTATTATTATTATTATTATTATTATGTTAAAATAAATAAAACTTTTTTCAGTAAATATGGATATCGATCAAAGGGCAGAGGGAGCTGGATGAGGCCAAATTGTGATTTGTTGCATCAGAGGTGTGTTGTATTATATATGACTCATAATTTAGTGAAAAAATAAATAGCATCATACTTTACTTTCATTTATTTTGTGTAAATGTTTCAATATTTTAATAAGATTTTGTGTTGATTTTTGAACGGTAATCATGTGACTTTCCTAAATGTGTATAGGGGATTTCTTTAGTCTAATGAATCATCAAAATGGTGTCACAAAAACTTCATTAATTACCATGCAATGGTAGTAACAAAAGTGTTTCAATTCTCATTCTCAATAGTATTATTTTTTCAAAAAAAGTAACTTTTATTTTTATATATCTTATTTAGATTTTATCCTTTTTTTAAGAAAAAAGTAATGGAAATCAGAGAGCAGCTAAGAAGAGTAGCACAGAGACTAGGGTTAGCCTTGAAATCATGACAAAACGATATTCAGGTATTTATTATTATTTATTTATTTCATCACAACTCTTCTCATATACATATACATATATATATATATATATATATATATATATATATATATATATATATATATATATATATACATATTTTTTTTCTTTATATTCATACAAAATTTAGTATTTACAGTGATTTTTGGTTGTTTTTTAGGTACTAAGAAAGGTAGTGACAACTGGATTTTTTGCTAATGCGTGTCGTTTAGAGGTGAATTAGCAAATTTAATAAACTATTTTATCAAAATTAAAACAAAAAGTTTGTTGTTTTAATTTAAAAAAAAAAAAATTAAACATTGTGAAGGCATACAGTCACCTCTACCAAACTCAATTTTACTTCTTCACTTCTCTGATTGCTTGATACCACAATGAATTCATCATCTTCTTGTTTGTTTCCTTAATTATATTTTATTTTCATGTAATCGGTGTTGAGGAGAAGCCGTGATTAATGATGTCTTTGATTGATCTAGAATCTATCTCGGAGGCAACATCAGGAGCTATTGGAGCTGTTTTGAGCACAGCCATCTTGTAACCTCTTGACACCTATAAAGCTAAGTATCAGGCCGAGGTTCGTTCTCATGTACGACATAAATACAAGTACTTTTCGTTCTTGAACTTCCCTAAATTCATCTGTTTTGAGTGATCTGATTCTTGTTATGCTGTTGAACTTGATTGATTGATTTCTATATGGTTATCTTGTCGATTACTTTCATATGGGTGTTTGTGATCTGTTGAATAACTGAATTTCTTGATTTTATTCTTCTCACATGACTTGTACCTTCTTCTGCAACATCTATTTTCTCGTTCAAGGTATGAACTATGAACTATAATTTATGATTTCCTGATTCCAGTTCCTTTCATTGATTCCATTCCTGAAAATTATGAATGAGCAATTTACCATGATTTCTTAGTCATTAGGTGCCGATTTCACATACACATTAAAAAATTAATGGATCGTCTTTCTGTCATCTAGGATCGCCCCAAATCACGATGCATGCTAATAGAATGAGTGAACATAGGTTTGAATTAGGAAAAAAAATCAAATTTTGGATTGGATTAATAAAAATTCTATACTTGGGCATAGAAATGAACAAAAAAACTAGAAAATATGTTGTCTATAAATCTATTGTTTCACTTTGATTCTAAGTTTGACAGATCATTACTGAATTGTAGGATATTTGATCTTTTTGTAACTCATGTTCTTATAGCTCAAGTCAACAAAACTACTGAATCTTGTAAATCGGTTCTATGCTTTTCATAATTGAAGAAAATGGTTCATATATTTTGCAAATGGGTTATCTTGAAAATGTAAAAAAATCTCACCTTTTTTAAATTGATTGAAATTATGCAGGAAATAGTAAAAAATGAAGGTACCTGAAGTAATAATTTGATGATTTGAAAGTCAATATTAGCATGGTACCAGACTCAAAATTGGGTCGATATCCGAGATCCATATACCAAGAAGATATTCTTCAACGATCTATTCAGATCCCACTTCAGTAATTATTCCTTTTTCTACGCAGAAATTTTTGCATTTTTCTTCCGGCAACAATGGCGACTGATATCTTGACATCCACACACTAGTAAGATTCACTAACCTCGTTATATTCATTTAATTGTGTCTAGTGTTGGGGTTCTTTGAGTTAAATATTCTGTTTAGTCGTAGCATTATTGTTCCGATTTGATTGATTTCATACTCGCTACATGGACTTGATTCATTGAATTGATGTTTCTGGTTGTGGTTTTGGCTGGGATTTTTACATCCGGTGGTTTGGTTAAAGACAAGGTAAAAAGTAAAACAAATTAGTAAAGATTTTTTAAATAAAAAATCGTATTATATCTAGGGATTTGACAACATGGATGGTAAAAAATATAAACTTCCAACTGTTTCATTCATCATTTTTAAATCTCCGAAGTTTATAGGGTCCCTTATGTATTTATCAAGTATTTGATTGTAATGAACTGAAATTTTTTTATTATTTATTTATTTATTTATTTATTTTTGCACTTATGTTGATATGTACATGTGTTTATAGGGTTGATGATGAAAGCGAATAGCTCTGGAGTTAGAAGAGGAAAAGAAAGCTCAAGCTGAAAGAGATAAGATGCTGCAAATGCAAGTGTTGCATTCTTCATTCCAATTGTTAGTATGAAACACGGAGTAGATTAGATGAATGAAAATTTATATATTGTAAGAAATAGAATTATATGACATTAAATTTTATGCAATGGATTGTATTTTTTGTATATGGTATTTTATTTCTATTATGAGACATTAAATACAAATTTAATTTGAAAATTAGTAAATCTATAAATAATGTTTTTATTTAACAATTAAAATTATGATACGCAAAAATGTGTGTCATCTTCATTTATGACATGGCCTTTCTTGACAGTGGCTTTCTTGATATGCATTGCGTGTCATTAACACGTGCATCGTAAGGTTACGACACGCGAATGCGTGTCATCTTCCTTTATGACAGGGCCTTCCTTGATACGCATTGCGTGTCGTAAATGCGCGTCGTAAATGAGCGTCGTAAATGCGTGTCGTCTATAGACGACGCGCAAAAGCGTGTCGTCTCTCTTTATGACAGGGCCTTCCTTGACGCGCATTTGCGTGTCGTCTGAGCCTTTTACGACGCGCAATGAGCGTCGTAAAAGGCTGTTTTTCTAGTAGTGTCTAAGATCTTGTTTGAATTGAATCAATTAAATGAAGTTTTATTTAAAGAACATCTTTTGAATAAAACACTTTTTTCAACTTGGGTATTAGAGCTTGTTAATATCTAAATTACCAACCTAGATTGAACATGAATCACCGTTATATTACATCCTACAACATAATGCATGTATAGGTATCCGAATCAGAAATGTATTTCTTTTACTGAATTTAGTTTTCAATCTTACTTCTTTATGAATTTTAATTCTAGTTCAAACATAATCCCCCATTTTAATATTGTTTGTATGATGTGTGAGAATATGGCTAAATAAGAAGTCCCGTATTCTTGTGGATCGACCCTGCTTACTCTATACTATCTTTAGTGTATGAAGTAGCAGTGATTTGAGTTTTATTGTTATATTTTATCCCATTATTTATTGGTTTGACAACCAAACAAATTGGTGTCGTTGCCGGGGATACGATAGTACTAATTGTTTATGCCTAGATCTTTTCGCACAGGTACACCTTTACCAGTTGATTTGGAGATAGAGAAATCTGCAAAACAAAGAAGGAAGCAAGCCAAACTTTTAAAGAAACAAAAATCTAGAGCTTCTTCATCAAATCCATCAACCACATCTTCTCCAACATCCAAAAGTATCACCCCACCATCTTCACCTACTCCTATCATGGCAGACAACCATGGACGAAACCAAAATCCTCCAAACCAACCACCTGAACAAACCTTTAGACAGTGGGCCACTCAAGATGTCACCCAACAACCTTTGTTCATAAATTACCCTACAACAATCAACTTTGAACTCAAGTCTGGACTCATCCATTTGTTACCCTCATTTCGTGGTCTTGACAATGACGACCCACATAAATTCCTTAAGGAATTTCATGTTG